GAGCCATATGAATGTCCTTAAAATCATACACAAAAGGTACCTGCAAAAACAAATTTAACACTCATTATCAAACTCGTCAAACTCGTCAAACTCGTCAAACTCGTCAAACTCGTCAAACTCGTCAAACTCGTCAAACTCGTCAAACTCGTCAAACTCGTCAAACTCGTCAAACTCGTCAAACTCGTCAAACTCGTCAAACTCGTCAAACTCGTCAAACTCGTCAAACTCGTCAAACTCGTCAAACTCCGACTTGTTTGACGAGTTTGAACATTTTTGAGACTCGAATAGTTTGACTTGTTTGACGGGTGCGCTAAGTTTAACTAATATCTAGCATGACCATTAATCTATGTTTTAGTGCATCCGACTGTCGACAATATCATCGTGACTCGATTTCTATCCGTCTTTTTCACAAAACACTGTTTCTCACCCAATCCGAAAACCCTATTTCGATATTTCGGTGACAAATTGTCATTCAAACCATAGTTTTTCAAATTTTTATTTCAAACCCTATTCTTAACGAAAACTTAATAGAAAATCTAAAACCGAATCTCAATGTATACCCGAAACCCTAAAAAATTTTATTTTTGCGGAGTTAAAAAACTATACCTGGAGGTCTTCGCAAGTAGGGTCCGAAGATGATGAAGACGGAGCTATTCTTCGTGCAAATTTGACGAGTTTGACGAACTCGCACAGAAAAATCACAGAGTGAAGAGAAAATGAAGAAGAAGAAATGACACTATGAAGAAATGAAAGTGTCTGTCGAAAAGGGGCAAAAAAAAACTGTTTGGTTTTTCAAATTTTTTTAATTTAGTAACTTCCCAACTTTTGGTCTTTCTCCTTCAGATGTTGACACGTGTATTTTTTAAAAGGGGTAACGATGTCTTTTCATTCTTTTACAGTTTTTATTTGAAGGTTTTTTTTTTGAAGGGTATGTCATGTAAGTGAAATCGACATTTAAAGGTATTTTTGTAATATTCCCACAACAGCAACAATAATTATTTATTTTAGTTCAACAGAAGCTTCTGTAATTAAATATATATTAAAGTCTTTCGCCAACCATTCGGATAATAACACGTCAAAACAGAAAAATCACCAAAAAAATATTTTATTTTTGTTTTTAGTTAGAAATAATATTTTTACCCGGATGGATGACTTTATCATATAGATTTTATATATCAAAGCATAGATAAACTATATTATAAAATGGAATAAGGGATGATATGTGGTGGTCATTGACTTGACTTGGTATTTATGTTTTTGTTTTTTTAGTATTAAGAAAAGAGGTACGACACAAAATTTAATAGGAAACAATGGAATAGTTGACAAGTAAATTGGATATAATTTAACTTTTGTTAGTATGTTGGATATAAAATTCAAGCAATGTTGATTAAAAATTTTACCAACCTGAGGTCCATGATCAACATGTGATTTTATTTAGGGAAGAAAATTTCCTTGTGTTGGTTAATTCAATGTTTAGAGTTAACTATTTGTTCTCTCTTCCATTATTTTTTAAGTTAGATTATTTTTAAATTCTAATCTTTTCTTGTCTTTATAAAACGTTAAATTCCATGTACTACTAAAAAAATTCTAAAAATATTTAATTGTTGTTAGATTTTCGATTATTTTTACATGAGAAATATCCTATTGTTTTTAAAAATTGAATCCGATATAATTTGGTTTTGCATATCAAAATCTAATTTTTATTTATATTATTTTTCATTTGACAAAATAATGGAGATAATAATGCATAATGGTAATTTGAATCCATAATAATTTTCTTGTCACTCTAACAAATTATTTCGATGAACTAATTTAACAGCTAATCAACTAATTTGAAAACTATTAAATATATTTGGTATAGTGGATATTGTTATAACAATATTTTGCATGAACACTAACTTGAGAAGTGGTTTATATGAAAAGATTTTAAAAGATTTTATTTATTTTTTGTTTGAGAAGTGGTTTGCGATGATTTAGAATTCCGTGATATTTTACAATCGTTTATGATGATTTGGATATATACAACGTAGGTCGATAGATATTTTTGTTAGCAAAGTGGAGAGTATAGTAATTACAGGAAGAGAAAATGGAGGGGTAAAGTTAAATTTTTTTGGGAACCAGTCATCAGAAATTATTTAGAATTGTTACCGATTTCGGAAGACCTAACTCGAAATCAAAATAAGTGAAAAAAATTTCATTCGGACGACCTCAAATAAGTTTGGGATTAAAACGATGTTGATATTGATGAACCAATTAACAAAAAATGATTAGAGAAAATAAATTAAATATTAATTATGGGAAATTATAAAATAAAATAAGTTAGCTAAATGTCGGACGTGAGGTTGGTGAAAGCGGCCAAAATAACGTCGACGCGAATTCTAACGGAAGGAAGAAGCTAACTGTTTGGTTTATTAATGATTATTGAATGAAATAGTTGATCCTTATAATATTTTGTTTATTAATTTATACATGTACTTTAATTTTTATTTTCGATGGAACTGATATTTTATAATAAAAAAATAATAGTTTTGGATTGCTTGGACACGGGAGCAGCCGACAGAAATCCTTAGGACAGAATCAATCAAGGTGCTACGGATTTTATATTTGAAATGTGTTTTGATCCATTATAGAATATTTGATTCAATTTGGTGCTGAATAGAATGATAAATTAGTAATGAAACAACAAAATTGTTATATACAAAATGAATGATTTTTAAAATTTTTAATTATAACATAGAAATAAAAAGTAGAGTAATAGTTGAATGGTATTTTAGGTTAAACATTTAAAATTTCACAAAAAAAATTTGACTGGCATGAAAAGTTTCGTTTTCACATTTTGAAAATTCCAAAACTAAAAGACGTACCATTAGCAACCTTTGTTTTGCTGATTGGGTTTTTGTTTTGTTTGACGGTTACAAGATGCCATGTGTCGAATATCATTTAATTTAATATTGATAGTGAAACAAATAAATGATTTTGAAAAAGTAAACTCATTTGCATCCCAACTGATTTTATTTATTTGTAAAAACCACGAATTACAACTTTTTTCCGTTCAAACCTAATATATACCAAAAACACAATTCTCCCTCGTTTATTCTCCCTTACAACATCAATTCTATTCTCATACACTATGTATAACACCTACTATTTGAAGACTTATTATAATACACACAAAATGTAATTTCATATTTAGACATTCGGATAACCGACCAAAATGAATCTGATATCCGATAATATCTCGCGAGATAAGAGATTTTCGTATTCTGGTTCGACAATCCGAATATTTTGGGTATTCGATTCGCATCTACCGTATATTTCTCTTGGTATTGATTTCGAAATTCGGATATATAAAAGAATCATCTCATTAACTTTTAGAATCTTATTACCAATCCGATCACATATATAAGCTTCTTGTTCTTATATATTATTCTTTACGCGTAGGATTCTTACATAGACAATGTCAACATATATGTTCCCAAAGTTCTCAGGCTGTAGAAACTAAAGGATCAAAGCGAATAACAGGAATAGACTTCAATGGATTAGCCATGCTTAAAGCCATGTAACCTGCTTCTTCCATGTTAACCTTTCCGTTTTCGGTTCTCCAATCAAAACATTGCACCATCGTCCCGACGGCAATTCCCATAAAGATATAAGCCAAGTTGGCACCCGGACACGCCCTTCTTCCCGCCCCGAAAGGAACGTACTTTAAAGATTTCTCTTTATCGAACTCCTTATCATTTTCACCCGAAACCAAGAACCTCTCGGGCTTGAACTCGTCAGGATTCTCCCAAACACTCGAATCTCTCATCATACCATAAAAGTTGAGGATCAACAAGGTGTCCTTAGGTATGTCGAACCCTCGAACTTTGCATCCTTTGTCGCATTTTCTTGTCATTACAGCCCCGGGTGGATGCAGCCTCAGGGTTTCTTTTATAACCGAATGCAGGTAAGGGAGATTCGGGAGATCGGATTCATGAATTAGCCTTGTTTTTCCCGTAACGGAGTCTATTTCTTCTCTCAGTTTCCTAAAGACAGAAGGATTGTTTATGAGCTCTGCCATTGCCCAACGAGTCGCTTGTGATGAAGTATCGGTGCCTGCAATGAAGAGATCCTACAATAGATATAATGTCAAAGAAGATGTGCTATATTTTCAGGCCACCGTATATTTCAAGAATCCATGTGTTATATTTTGATAAAATCCCATAAAATTTTACTAAAAAAAATCCCATAAAAACACACCAATCGTGTAAAATATACCAAAAATATAAATAAACTTTTAATTCGAAAAATAAATATACCAATTATTCAAGAAAATTTTCGCAAAAGTTTTCCTAGGTTACTTTACTACACCACAGTTAATGCTGTTAAATGTTACGGCCAAGAAATTCTAATTTGATAGGTACTTGGTAACCAAGTTTTACAAAATACCTGAATTTTTACAAAATTTTCAAATAAATAACTGAACTATAAAATTTCTAAATAAATATCTGAATTTTTCAAAACTTCCGCATAAATACCTAAATTTTTAAAAATTTATCAACGAATATAAATTTATGTCGATGTTTGGGTATTTGGCAAATTTATCACCTTATATTGTCAACGAATATTATTTCATTTGGTAAATTTTTAAAAAATTTTGTATTTATGTAGAAGTTTTGAAAAGTTTAGATATTTATTTGAGAAATTTATAGTTCAGATATTTATTTAAAAATTTTGTAAAAGTTCAAGTATTTATATACGATTTTTCCTAGATAAAATATTCTATCGTCACAAACTGTTATTATTTAACGGCATTAACGTTCATACGATAATTTGGAAAAAAAGGGGATATCGATTTTTTTTGAATTTTTTAAATTTGATAAATAAATATATAAATTTTTAATTGTATACAAAAAATACATAAATTTTAAATTTTTTCGTATAAACTCATACAAATACTAAAGTCGTTTGTGTTTTTTTATGGATTTATGTAAAAAAATGTTAAAGTTTATGTATATTTAAAAATATATATATTTATTTATCAAATTTAAAATTTCATGTTTCTTGTTTTGCGATATCCCCGAAAAAAAATAAGTTAACTTTTTTTGTAAATTTTAGCTATGTATTTATTTGTTAAATAGAAATTCTAAGTATTCTTTTTACACATTTAATATATTTTGTCTTATTTTCCCTTGTATTATCTACCAAATTGAAAAGGTGATCAGATTTTTGACGATAATCCGTTTTCATCCCCTTGTAGAGGAAAGATAATATTTTTATTTGGCAAAAATACGAGGGATTACCACAAAAAACGCCTTGATATGGTTCCTTGAGATCTTCTGCTCCAACACAACATCCATCATGTCCTTATGCTCTCTGTCCGGATTCTCTTCGTGTCCCCGGAGAATCTTCTCGAACAACTCGTCGTACCTTCTAGAAACATCCAACACATCCTTCTCGAACAACGAGATGCCGAATCTCTTGAGCCGACGCAATGCAATGACAGCTAGAACCTTCTTTATCAAACCTAAGCTTTCACTCAGTAAACCCTCTATCTTCTCCACCTCGGCATCCCCCTCCAAACACGTTAACCCCATAGCCATCCTGCAAATGCAATTGTTCGTGAGCTTCATCATCTCTTTCCCCACATCGACGGCTTCATTCCTCTTTGCCTTCTCCATCAAATCGCCAAAGAATCTTTCGAGCTCTTCATGACGAAGATTTCGCGATGTTTCAAGATTTTGCTGGCCAAGCAACTCGGTCATCACGAGCCTTTTCATGAACCTCCAGTAATCTCCATAGGGAGCAGTGACGAATCCGTAAGGGCCTACTACGATCGAGTTATCGATATCACACGAAAACCTCGACGAGAAATTCGCATCATTTGTCCTAAAGATGTCGTGTAAGGCTGAGGACGACGAGACGAGAAGTATCGGGGAGTTGAAAGCGCGGAGGTAGAGAAGAGGGCCGTGTTTGGAGGAAAGTTCGGTAAATGACTTGAAGAGGGAGTTGGAGAGAAGATAGTGAAGGTGGCCGATGATGGGCAAGCTCGGCGGGCTTGGAGGAAGACGGGCAAGTGATGATCTTTCTATTTGATCATTGGATTTGTTGAAGAAACTGTAGAGGAGAGAGAGAAGTGAGATTACCAGGACGAAGATGAAGCTGTTTTGGAGGAAATCCAAGGTAACGGTTGAAGCCATATTTTGCCCACAAAGGCATATGTAAGGCTTGCATCTTTTCTTATATATACGCACACAAATTCAGTTGCTAAAGTCAAAACCTTTCATAATTACCATTTTGAAAAATATCACTCTCAATCAAAATATCATAATTAAATTATCGAAATATCATATTCTTTATATAAAAGATTTTTATAACAAAATAGTATTAGAAACTTTTATAATTTCAGATATAAATAGGGAATACTTTTAGTTATATTCTTATATTTTTTAATCACTAACTTCTTCTTTGGATCAACCAACAAACAGATCCATTAAAGTTCAAGAAGTCAAATATGGACAACATTAGTTTCAGACCACATTTTTGTATCCAATCAAATGGCAAGTTTCATTAAAGATCTTGAAAAGCTGAATTCCAAACTGTTTTTTTCCCCAAACATCATCGTTTTAATTGTGATAAATGCATTTAATTTTCAAACTATTTTTTTGCAATATATATTAATATTAAAAATATTTTACATATTTTAATTTTGAAGTACTTCTAAGAATAGTTTTTTTTAATTATATTTCGAGACAAAAAAAATATCCAACATCAAATGGTATTGATCCGTCATGGCATTAGATTGTATATAAATTATTATATTCTTTCAAGATTTCACATAACTGTACAACATCACATGGTGATATTTTTTTTATAATTCAAAAATTTGACCCAATTACATCTTTTAGAGGATCGAAGAAGTTAAGATGAAATACCTCTCCCCACACTTGAGTTTGAACCAACGGTAAGAACATATTTTGCATATTTTTTATCACTAAACCATCCAAATTTGGATTGATTTTAAAGATAATTATATTGTGATTATGATGAAAAAATATTTATTAATTGAAACAAATAAGGCTCAAAATCTGACCTGAATCCATCCATAACCCTTTTGGACCGAGTCTCGGGCCCTCAAATATAGGTAACAAAACAAATTTAAGACCCAGTCGAGTCAAGCCCATGACGCCCATTTTACACCGACAAAACTCTAAAATGCCAAAATATATAGTTTTAATTAAAAAAAAGGTTATACACCAAGTCCTAATTGAATTGGGATTCGATTGAAACCATGGCAAAAAATCATCTTTAATAAATGGCACCTTCAAGTATCTAGCCATACATATCGAAAGTTGCTCCTCGCTCACATACTCGATTTGGTCACGTTTATATATATTTTTTTTTGACAATTAGAAAGTTCATTTGATCAAGGCCAGTTACATCTCCTAATGTACGAGGATCGACCATATGAAAACCCCTCCTAATTGGGATTCAGTCGTAGGGTGGAGTTACGTTTTACATCCCCAGTAAAAGATTGATATATCTAGGGATATCAATCGGACCGATCAGCTAAAAAAATATATCGTACTTTCGGGCTGACTCGAATTGGGTCCGAAACATAAATTGAATCCGTTCAAAGTCCGATTTTTTTCGGACCGAAAAATTTAGACGCAAAACCCGGCATTTCTAGGGTGGGCTCAGGCCGGACTTCAGGCATGAAGCCTAGATTGACACCCCTAGATCTAACCCGTTTGGTTCGATCACGTTTATAATTGAAATCCTCTTGAACGACGCAACGAAAGGCGTTCGAAGCCCTTTTGCTCGTGAAGGTGTAAGTGGATCTTGGACTTGCAACTCCTTCATGTCCCTGTGGTGCTTTTATGATGTCCTCAGTCATTTCTGTGTCCAAATTCTGTAGAAAACATGATGTATGTCATGAAAGGAACGAGATCAGATTGCTTGTAGGTCCATCGGCAATCATGACAGTGAGCGTTGGGTGATATACCAAAATGGGTCAAGAGATGTACCAAACGATTCCGATGAAAGAAGATCAATCACTTGTTTTGTGAGCCTGTCTTTTTACATTTCAGAAGATTAATTTCCAGGGAAACATATCGGAAAAAAAAAACTCGAAAAATACTGCTGTATGTCATTCAAACTCTCGAGGGATGATCATCACGAACCAGTTCAGCTCCTTTTCAGTTTGGTTCATGAACATAGACGTCGAAACAAGAGGCATAAATAGTCGAAGGTCCGAGTTGAGCCTCTCTCTTTTCATCATCTCAATCTTCAACGCCTTCTCTGTCCATGGAGATTCCATTCCGAGGCCGATTCGATTCCTCCAAGGAGTATGCAAACTCCTCTCTGTACATCTCTTCTATCATAGGCTTCCACAATCGAACACGGGCGTTTATGAACCAATTCGAAACCTTTATCAGCAATTAAAGTTGCCCAAATCAAGAGTTTTTATAACAGAATGCGGAAGAAACTAGCTAGGATTTTAAATATGCAGAACCAGAGAAGAAGTAGTACTTGATTCTTGGAGAGGCCCGTCTCAGACGCCAGCATAAGCTTCTCGGAATCATTCGGGTAACTGTTTCATCGAAAACCCGAAACTAGTTTCACCATCTATATGACATTATATATGAACATGAACTCGGCTTCGTTTACACGTTACTTCTATAGCAAGAAAACTCACGGGTGCAAGAAATGCTGGAACAGCCAAGCGCGGAGGATAGAGATAGATGTATCAGGCAAGCCCCTGATGGGTCTCCAGGCATGTTTGAGCTGAAGAGACGAAACCTGAGGACAGTGTTTCAGCTTGTTTGTTTCGAACAAGCCTAGCCGAGACAAGCCTGAACTGATTCTAGGCAAATCCTGCGAGTGTTTTCTTCGAGCCGAGTTGATCTGAGAGATTATAGCGTCTTGTAGACTGCCGAAATGGCGGGTCATTGCTTGAAGGGCTAAGCCGGTGTAGGGTTTAGCTGATCCTGATCCTGCAATCTCTTCAAATGAGATAATCACATGTTCAAGCTGATCACAGTACTTGTCAAATCTTGCCTCAACCTGAAGAAAATAAAAAACCCGTGACAATGTTCAAATGAAAAGCCTCACGCAAAGAACAATTTGTTCATACTTTAAAACCGAACCGAACTGCTCCTAAACCGACGTTCTAAGGCCATACCAAATGGTTTACGTGATCGCTTATCGGTTTAAAACCTGGGTCTGATCTTTCTAGTTTGGCTATGATATTGGAACTAGCAGCTAAAGCTGGTATCAGATAACCCGAGGACAACAAAAATCGAACCATTAGCTAAAGCCGGTATTCATGTCGTTTCCCAAACCAGGAGCGGTCACATTGTAACAATTAGCTAAAGCCGGTATTCAAACTAACCGGAGGACTGAACACATCAAACCGATACTCGGTACGGTACTATAGTAAGAACATCAAAAGACATGACATAGGTAAACACACCAACTACATGGCTTTTCATTAAACTACTTCAGAAAAGCGCGTTACGAACCACTATTAAAATATCTAACCGATTAAATTGGTTTGGTCCTAAACCATGCTCTACAGTCCTAAACCGGGCCGGTTTATCAGTCGGGTCTTATCAAGTTTGGTTCCCAGTGACAAACCTGTTCTAACAATCCGACAAGCTTGGCAACTCTGATCTGAACCTCGCGATTCTCGGGCGGAGACATGAAACCGGAACTGCATAGTTCGGCTTTAATCTCTGCAGATAAACCGAAACCGCCTCTTCTTCGTCCTGGAAACAGTTCCTGCATCAGAAACTCATTGCACAGTTCAACCTCTCTCCCTCCAATGTCGATCACTTCTTCAAGGAGGCACCGTGCGGCCTTTGAGTACCTCGAAGATGAACATCCATGGCGGATTCCGAGCTCCTCCATTTCTGGGTTTGTCTCAAAATGTTTACCTTCTCTTCTTTCTTCTTCTTAGACAGTGAAAGTGAGAGACTTTAATGTAATATTAATAACAAGTGGATTTGTATAGTTTGTGTACATATTATAATATGCTAAGTAAAAGGAAGTGGACTGACCCATTTGGAGAACTCCAAGAACCTAATGAGTAAGAGCCAAACCTTTAAACGATGCACAGACACACAGAGACCTTAGCTACAACTGCCTATTGATAAGTAAAATTATTTTTAAAATAGAATTTTTATTTTGAAATAAAATTAAAATTAAAAGGGGATTATAAAAGTTGGTCCCCGAGTGTGACCAGAAAACAACAGGCAAAAGCATAAATGCTTCAGCTCGCATTACATATACACACTCATATATATATATATATATATGTATTTTTCGACGCGCTCTAAATATGTTTGGATGCACTCTAAGTATGTTTTGATGCACTCTAACCGTGTTTTGACGAACTCTAAACATGTGTAGAGGGCATCTAAACGCACTCTAAACGTGTTAGGACGCACTCTAAATATGTGTTTAAACGCACTCTACACATGTTCGGACGCACTCTAAATATGTTTAGAGAAACTCTAAACATGTTTCGACGCACTTTAAATATGTTCGACGCACTCTAAAAATGTTTCGATGCACTCTAAACATGTTTGGATGTAGTCTAAGTATGTTTGGATGCACTTATATATATTGTATTTAACCTAAGTTTTTAACTCTTTATACATTATTTAATAACCTAGAAATTACAAACGATAATTGTGTAGACCGAAGAAAATATAAGATTCTAGTACGTTTGTCTCATTTTCTTTCAAAAATATCTACTTTTGTTTTATAGATAATTTTTCTCACTTTAACTTAATTAATGAACTTGTAATTCCAAAAACTGTAAAAAACTTATGATTCGAAATTTAGATATATTATGGTTATCATTATAATCCCGCTAGTCCATATATTTCGGATATTTTTAGGATGATATTTGATTAATCTGAAATTATATATCCATGAACTCCTAATATCTTCATAGCTATATAAAAAAGACTTTGACATTATATGGTTTAAAATGTTCAATAAACGAGGATCTACACATATATTTTCACCTCATAGTAAAGTGGTCCAATAATTATTATTTTTTTAAATATTTTTTTCTTGGAGTTGTGAGGATTTGTCTGTTTATGAACAATAAAGGTAAAGGAACATGAAACTTTCTGTGCTCCATGTATACATACTCTTTTATAGTAGCTGTTGTTAGGACAAGTCTTGGATGTTGAAAGGACACTGCAAAATCTCAGGACAATGTTTTTGGGTTCTTATTAATTTGGTTGATGCAACAGGCATGGTCTTGTGATGCTCAGAAAGGAAAAACCCTATAAAATTCACATAAAATTAATTAGCATAAATAATAATTTTTTATCTATAAATGTTTGAGTTACTATGCACCCATTTTTAGTTATTTGGTTTTGGAAAATATGGTAAAGTTTATATTTCTTATTATTTATTTTGTTTACATGTCTAAGTGTATGCGTTTAACCTATATTTATATTTGTAGATTTTGAAAATAGTATAGTTGACTCTCTATCTACTTGATCGTCAAAATGATACCCTACTTTAATCGGACAATGAAACTACGGTTCTGCCACAGATGAATCAGAGTTACCGCGGGCCTACATAAGCTTGCCACGTGTCTCAATCTTAGCCGTAAAGTAATTCGCCTCCCCACCAGATTCTCGTGAAAGCCGACAAATCTCCACCGTCCGATCTTTGATTCTTCTCCGCCCTCTTCTTGCCCAAGGGGAAATATCTCTTCGTCGGCTCGTCGTCAACGTGTCTCTCTCTCTCTATCTCAGAAATCTTCGCCGGGAAGCCATGACAAGCTCCCCCGCGAAAGGTCTGTCTCAATCTAGCTTTGATTTCTGGATTCGGGTTTTGACTGTTTGACTTTGGGAAACTTCGAAACTGCACGGGATCTGAGTAAGATCGTGTGCATTCTGCTCCCGCGGGGTTCATTCACAAGGTCCCTGGTAATCTCCAGAGGTAAAATTCGAAATGTTTTGAGTTTTCTATGATCAGATGAGCATATTGGTTCGGATATACAATGATTTTGCTTGATAGTGACCTGAAAATTTCTAGGTTAGAGATTGATAATTGAAGTTACGGAAAGCTCCGCCGACTCTGTGCACGAACGGAACATTCCGGCTTCAGGTTGAATTTCCTGAGCATTATCCCGTGGAAGCTCTACCACAACAAGTGAGTATTCGAATTTCTGATACATATGAATTTTTTCTCGTGCCCCCTTTTCACATGCATAGAAGAAGAACTAAGTTTTCAAGGATAAGATGCTGAGTTTTGAACTGGGATGATGAGAGATCTGTTTCATGGGATTGATATTGGTTCTAGATGATTTTTTTTTTTAAAAAAAAAAATTGGCATTGCCCCTAAAAGCATTGACTACAATGTGTTTTGTTCATATAAGCTGTGAATGATAGTAGGTCGTGTGTTGTGCCTGCTTCCATCTCTGGAGACTGCCTCATTGTAAAAGGTTTTCCACCATGACAAATTTGATCTGTATTAACGCCATGTGTTTCCATTGTCAAAAATGAAAATATATACAAAAAGGGTTTTCGAAGGGAATCATAATACTACCTAATCTAAAACATGATATTTTCATATGTCATTTACATCCATAATACTCTGTGTAATACTTGTATATAAGGTTCATTGTCTGTACTATCTTGAGTGGTCTTTGGATCTTTCAAGCGTGAGCTTGTGTGTAATGACTTGAGTATCAGCTGTTGTGATTCTTATTGTACAGATGAGTTTGTTCCTCCGGCTCCCCTGCATCATCTCATTTACCGTGATGGACATATTTTTATAGGTACCTTCTCTGTCCTCTATTCCATGATAGAGTTTTTCTTACTTCTCCTCATCTTCTAGCTCTCTTTATTCTTTTGGTTGCATACCAAAGCATTGGTTATTATCATATGGAAAGTTGGCATTTTGCAATGCTAAGGACTTTGGGCAGAGAAAGTATGATAATGGAAGTTTCTAGTAGAAGTTCGGATCTGAACGATCCGAGGCTTGGCTAATTACATGCGAAAAGGTTACTTATCTGCAAAGATTGTGGTAACCCTTTTCGACTTTCGATTTGTTGTGTAAAATACCGAAAACAAAACAATCATTGTGACTGATTTTTGCAAAAAAGAAAAAGCCCTTCTATTGAATCTTCTTCTATATTAACCACTAAACCCTCCTACATGCAACTACAAAAAAAGAAAACTAATACACCTAATCTTTCTGATGTTTCTATTAGGTATATATACATCAGGAAGAATATTCTCAAAACTACTACCTCCCTCTACTGTATAATTCTTCCTTGTCTCATTTCTTTGTTGTTTTATCACCATGTAGCCGAAGCAGACAAAGAAGAAAGCGACCCGAACGAAGCAAGATATGGGTTTGGGAAGACTTTCTGGCCTGTGGCGAGTATATGTCGTGGATCATACTCTGCCTTTAAGTGGCTAAACCGTTCCCATTTGTCACCGAAATGCCTCATCCATTGCTCCTGTGTCACGTAATGAGGAAGGTATTGTTTCGCCTCTATCCCGCTTTCTTCGCAGAATCTCAGGATCCGACGGTTCTGATCCTCCAGATACTCCAACCTCTGTGTCTCGTCGCCATCCGATAATGCCGACCTCAGCAAGGCCACGAGGTAGAACACTTCCTCCTCCGGTATCACGGCCGAGGATCTCTCGTCCCACCTGTATACATACCGTGTCATCATCGCCACATCAGCAAGACATATCGTACGGACAGACAATCAGGAACACACAAGGAAGATAACAACAGTGGTTGGTTTAAGGATCTGATTGGTTGGCAGAGAATCCGGGTAGGACCCACATAGTTCATGAGTTTGAGGTCTGACCGTTGGATTTGGTAATGTAGTTTCTTTTTTGTCGGGTTGTGGTCAACAAGAGATGGAGGGAGAAAAAAACATGAAGGTGTTGTCATAATGGATCTTGGTGTGATCATACTTTGAATCGGCATATCGTCGTTTGTGCATGTGGACAACGTGTTTGGACAAAATTTCACGTATAAATATTTAAAATTTTGGACCACTTAGTTGCTACAAAATCTTGTTAAACCACCATATTTCACCCTTGTAATGACACATATTACAAAATTCGTGTCATTTTCTCCATCTTGTCACGCATGCATTACATGCAAAGCTATCATCATTTTGAATTTTGATATGGTTATATTCCAGTTCGGTTATAGAAAAATTATATATATTCAGTTTTATATCACTTTTGATTCGGTTAAGTTTTATTTTAATTCAATTCAATTCAGATCTAGTTTTTATTAGTAAAAAAATCGTTTTAAAAAAATCGATTTTTTTATTATTTTTTTCGTTCGATTCCATTCGAAATGGGTTTTTTTGGATTTAAAGAAATAATAACAATTCTGTTTTTATGACGGATTTTTTTAAAAACAAAATCTAAGAATGGGAGAGGGAATTACTTGTCTTTGTTCATGGGGTAGATGAGGATGGGCCCACTAGTTTTGTTTCCCAAAATGCCCTTGAAGACCCCTCGGTCGAAATCACCGATTCTTGATTTTGGAACGAAGAGGTTCAGCCAAGGGTGAGGGACTTCCCACAAATTCTTGGACCGGAGTTTCAACTCGGCCTTGTGAACCCGGTCCAAGAAATCCACGTACGGCAAATCGGTCGTGAAAACCGATCCCGGTATGAAATTCAATTTCTTCATCAATTGCTCCATCTCCTGCAACAAATTTAGAAAAAAAAAATTATGTCAATTAATAATTCTTTCCCGCCGTGTCCTTTAGCAATGGAAAG